GTGGAAATGTGGGACTCAACCTAAACACCAAGAAAACAGAAACCATGGTTATATCAAAGAAAGAAATCAGTCCAAAAAAGGCACTTTATCATTGAATGGGACCCTTTTCAATCAAATCTACAAGTTCAAATACTTACGGACATGGATTACATCATATGGCAGATGTCAAAATGAGGTCAAGAGCAGAACTGCACAGGCTAAGACAACATTTATGAAAATGAAAAATATATTGACTAACAAAGGTATATCAATGAAAATGCGCAAAAGAGTTCTAAGCTTCTACATCACACCAATCTTGATGTATATGGTTGAGAATCATGGATAATAAACAAACAAATGGAAAAATCACTTAATGCAATCAAAATATGGATCCTGCATAGAATGCTTAGAGTTTCCTACAGAGACTGGAAAACAAATGAAGAAGTTCTACAACAAGTAGAAACAAAGATAACACTGATAAAGATAGTACAAAAAAGACAAGCTGCATTCTTTAGTCATGTGATGAGGGATGGAACACTTGGTAACAACTGGGAAATTTGTGGGGAAAAGAAGTAGAGGTAGACAGTAAGAGAAGATTCTTGACAGTTTAACAATTTAGCTAAACTGATGTAATCACAATTGCCTGGGACTGGGAAAGGTGGAGGGACATGATCACCTATGCTACAAAGCACAGCACTTGATGATGATGACATTGTTCACAGAAGAGGGTCCATAGTCCCCTATTAATATATATTGCGGTCCAATTACCCTAGCCACCAACATTTGATATAGGGACTATGACCCTATAATTCCAACCCCAAGCAGTGGAACCTTGGCTATCTGGTTGGAGCCTGGCCATTTGTAATGATAGATCATGTAAAATTCAACCCACAGGACATAAATTGAGTTCCAGGTGAAGAGTATGCTTGTTCTGTATGTAGTGCAGTTCCCCCACGAGAGTGTCAACCTTCTGTTGGCATGCCCATGATCCATGCAGATGCCTTCTGTATGGATAATGCCCTCACCAGTCCTTCTACCTTACCAATGTGGGTTTCTAGCTGTAGTGTGAGAGGAGGTATGTTTTGGAAAATGCTTTTCCACTTGCACTTTCCTGCCCTTCTTCTCCATTAAGAGTCGATATCAGAGACAGCGGATGAAGTCATTCTAAAAAAAAGTGAACTTTATCTGAATGAGGTGCTTATATATACAACACCAGGGTAGAGGGTGCTTTGACAGAGATGGAGAATGTCACAAGACGAATATCACCAAGGGCAATTAAGTGGGGTATAAAAAGACTGGAGCAAGTGAGAAAAAATTAGACCAATACTTAGATGGGCAAAGGAAGGAAACCCTAGCATTCAAGTAATAGCTGTAATGTGAGAGGAGGTATGTATTAATGGAAATACATTTTCGATTTAAGAAAATGTTAAGTTCCATTCCTATCATCCAACTTTGGTAAAACATGGTATAATTCAATGTCTGAACAAGAGAGCAGAAAACATTTGTGATGAGACGTCCATCAAAACTGAATGCCAAAAGATCATAGAGTATTTTAAATGGAATGGTTACAACTCTACTTTCTTCAAGAACTTCCTGAAGAAGACCATAACAGAAAGAAAAGATAGCAAGAACATCACTACTATTTACCTTAATTACCCCTACATTCAAAATTTCAGTGAAAAACTCAAACACATAGCCCAAAAGTTTAATATAGACGTTCTATGGAAATCTTACAAGACAACAAGATCTATTCTAGTGAAAACAAAACTGAACCCTACTTATGAAAAATACAAAAATGTAATCTATGAAATTGTGTTCCTGTGATCAAACATATTTTGGAAAAATGGAATAAAAAACTTGGAACAACAATAAAAGAACACAAAGACAGCACAAGACACATGGGAAAAAAAGAAATTCAACTAGACACAAACTAAACTGGGATAGAACTAGAATCATTAACACAGACAAAGTTTGCAAGACAAGCAAAATTAAGGAATCTTTCTACATCAATACAATAAAGCCTTGACTAAACAAAGATTTGTGACTAGAGGTGAGCAACTTATAGCTACCATTGGTTGAAGCCACATACAGCTATTCCACCAAGAACCAAGGATAAACAACCAATCTCAACACATCTTCCACAATCCACCACAGTACTACAAAATATCTGCAACAACTGACCTGAAGACAGAAGACTTTTGAAACGTTGTCCTCTACACTTGTGTTTTTCTACAACAAGCTGTTACCATCCAATCTAGTGTGCCCATCATGAATACTATGCCTAATAAATCTCAGTGTTATTTGCCTAAAAAACACTTGGTCTTTGTTGTTATTTTTTTCAGTATCTAGCCCTTTTTCTTTGATCATTGCCCCACACTGTTTGTGTGTTTCAAATTCCAGGAGTCATGAAACTGCTTGCTGATCAGCTATCTGATCCAGAAAAGATTCTCCCTACCACCTGATGTTTCTGCTGAATTCTCAGGAGCTTGTTTAATGCATGGGTTGTCTATTGGTCAGTGTCTTTGTGATAGCTAGCAATCGCAAGCATTCCTCATATTGGTTACATGTTCAAGATCTTCTGGAATTGGTGGCTGATGTGTTTTGTCAGGAGGAATGTATCTATTCCTTTACTTTTCTTCTGCATCTACTTCCACAGTGTCATTGGTTTCCTCTAATCATTTGTTTTTCATTAGGTAGCATTCACTCTTTTCAACCATCACAGTTTCTTATATTATTGCATATCTTTTTTTTTTTTTTACACCATGATATATATCAGTATGACTTCTTGTTTGGCTGTAGCTCAGTTAGTTGTTTGTGTTATTTTAGATCAGTTGCCTGTGTTCTTCTACATTCTTTCTAATTTTTATTATGCAAAATGGCAAATCTTTCATTGTTGGTGCAGGTATCATTTAACGCTACATCTGATTGGATGAGGTTTTATCTTTTTTCTTTCATTTCTAGTTGCAAAACTCTTCTGGATTGTAATGTGAATGTGGTTTTACAGGCCCTGACCTCACCTCTTTAAGCCTTCTCTTATTCATTCCATGAGGTTTTCATCTATTCTTTTTGTTGCTCTTAGGTATGAGGACATCATTTTTACCTGTATCCTGTTCTTCCAGGATCAGATGTTCTTATACCCCAAGCTGCTTTCACTTCAAGCTAAGACAGCTCGGAAAGGAGATTGAGTGACCATTTTGGTTAGAGAAAGAAAACTGTCAAACAAGAAAAATTTTCAATGAAATGATTAAAGGTATTTTACTGTAATAAGCACTACAGTTATACTGATTTTCAGCCAATCAAGTCTAATTTTAACTTTTTTTTTTTTTTTCTTCTTGTTTTTTCCGTCTCGAATTGCTGACTAGAGGGAATTATATGTTTGGTAGACCCACCACCATAGTTAAAGGAAAACTATTACTAATCATTTAGCAAATAGCAATAATCCTGTAGATGTATATGGCAGTGAAGGAATCAAAATAGTAGACAAAATATCTATTATCATAAAAGCATGCTATATTAATTTATATAGTTAGTGAAATCTTTTCACACCATAAAACCCAGTTGGGTTGTCAGTCATGAAGCTAGAACAAATTGTAGTGTATCTGATGAAATCCTAAGAATTAAAAGATATCAAATATCATTTTCAAAGGAAATAAACACAAATTACCTAAAATAAGTTACAACAAAATATGTGGGCAGAAAATAATAGTTAGCTAGCTAAGTACAGTGGATGAACTATAAAATGTAATGTTGCATCTTGAATTTATTACTTATTATTATGTCATGTATTATATTAACCTGTTTCAGTAATTACAAGTTTTGGAGTCAAATATTTGCTATTAATATTTGTAAAATTAATTATAAAAATTAGAATTTGCCTTAGTAATATCTATATTATAATGTGTAATTTTTGTTAAGTTCCATACTTCAGAGAGGTGGTAAATAAATTAGAAGAGAAAGAAGACCCAGAGAAGAAATGTCACAATTTTTGTTGTATAGGAGATTGAGGATTTTCTTAAATATTTCCTTATAAAATTAAAAACTTAAAAGTTGTATAATATTAGAATTTAATTTATTAACTATGTTTTGATGCCAAATTTATTCATATACAATGATAATAAAGTAGTTTAATTATACTTAGATGTAACTCTAAAAAGTCATGTCATGTGCACTTTGAACTACATGTAGGGATGGGGTTAAGAGCCAAAAGCTTTTTCATTGACATCTAAGCTAAGGAACTGACCTTGGACTTCTGTCTTTCATGAAGGATCTTTCTAATAGGTTTATATCAATTAGTTTAATTAACAAATTGGCATGGGCTCGTAATATATACATGTATCGTTTGTATGCAATCAGCAATGTGTCATTTGATTGTTCAAGATATTTTTGCATAAAATGTTTCATTATTGAATTCTGTTTTTTATATATACATATAGAGAATGTGGTAAATAATGCAAATAAACCTAAACACATCAGATTAGCATATAATTATAGAGTAAATTATTATTTCAGGTTATGGTTTCTGTGTGAAAATTAAGAAATGTATATAAAAGGGATGCTAGGAACACAATATTTCTTAAATCATTTTTATTTCATGTTATTTTAACATTGGTATTTAGTTGTTATTCTTAGAGCTTTTCTTCTGTTCTGAATTATAAACATAGGTAAGAGTGATCAGTCATAAATACACTCAAGGTAAGATGTGTAACATAGTAGTAAAACAATTAAATTATTTTAACTTTCTTAACTGTGGCTTCTTAAACATAAATTGTTTACTAGTTTGGTTTATATGTAACTTCTTGAAAATTAATCTGTTATTTGCTGGACTTATAAAGTAAAAAAAAAAAGTTTTGTGTTGTTAGAATTGAGACAAGTATCTTGTACAAAGCTATGTTAAAGAACTACATTTAGCTTTCTTCATATGATTTTACTGATTTTGTTTCAAGAACATAGAAAATGATAGACAAAAACAATAAAAACAATTAGTATATTAGTAATAATCAATTTTATTTTACCATTTTCAGGAGGAATTAGAAAGAGATAAAAGAATTGTGTGGCTTGTAACCTTTTATGCACCATGGAATCCTTCTTCAGTGAATTTTGCACCAACATTTGCTGATCTCTCTGTCAAGTAGGTCTTTAAAAGTTGTTATACATGTATGTTTACATTGTACATTATATCTGTGTAACTTGCTGGTAACTACTAAATTAGCCAACACAAAAATAAATTGTTTGGCAAATTTATTCCTGTGCATAACTGTTTAAGCACCATATTTTGAATAGAAACACAAGTATAATTTCACAGTTATCAGTAAAGAAACTTAAATAAAGAAATATTTATTACAAACATATAACTACATTAGGCTTGACAATAACTATTTTATCCCTAGACAGTTGCATGTGATTTAGCATAGACATATATCTAAGAGTACCATGTATTAGACTTAAAAATATAATATATTGTTTTTATAATATTGAAGAACAATAGTTTGCAAGGCAATAAATTTTCATATAACAGGTTAAATCTTTATCACAAATTATTATAAAAGTTTGAGTATACCATTAGGTGTACAAATGTATGAATATACAAACTGTAGTGATTTTTGTTAATTTGCATTTTTAGTATTAATCCTCAAATTATTCATATTTATTGGAAGGTATGACATCATAGGCCTATGAAATCTCACTAATATACAAAAAGAAGCTTATCATTTTCAAGAACAGTTTTTGATGATGAAAGAATAGAACAAATCAGCTGTAATATTTCTTTTTATTATCCTTTTTTTAAGACACTGTTTCAACAAATGTAATTGAATGTACAGTATTGTAAACTACCATTTTATACTTATCTTACCCAATTGATCTTCACTGCTTTGAGTGTAAATTATATACAATTTAAAAGATTTGATTAATGAAGTTTATCTTTTCTATTTGATCAACTTTTATAATACATCCTATATTTCCAAGCTTTAAACTATTACAGAAACTTTTAACAATTATTTAGTTAATTATTAATGTATGTTTCAAGTACAAATGATATTATTAAGACATTATTATTTTTATATGGAAATTTACCATAAAAACTGAAAGTGTTAAAATTTGATCTGCATTTATATGGTGTTTGGAATTTAACAAATGCCAAGCATTGTTTTAAATTGTAAATTGAATATATATTTAAAATTTTGAAACAACTTTTGAATATTGTAAGAAAACACAAAGTATTAATAAATACATATCAGCTAAGTGGATTAGCAGTACAGGATGACAAAATGTTCTGAATAAATAGTATGAACAGAAGAAAGAACAGATAATAGGTTACTGGATATGTCAAAAATTGATAGATCAAATATAAGCAATACTTGGTCATTTATGATTTATTAAACATTTGAATATGAGATTTAACAATGCAGTATGTAAAAAAAAAAAAAGATATTCATGTAGGCCAAATGTGTTGTTGGAATGAGAGTGTTCATCGAAGAATTACGGAAGATATGCCATGGTATTGGCTGCATTCTTTATTTTATCTTTGTTTGATACTGTTAAAAAGCCATTATGTTGTTTCATCAGAATAATCATTCTTAGACCTTAATTCTCGAGGTAGGATCCTAACCGTCTTGCTGTTTTGTGCAATTTCAGCTTTAATCAAACAAGCTATATTAATGATAAGGAAATCTATCAACAGAAACTTTTTATATATTTAGTTTAGACTAATATAAAACTCAGTACCTGTATGTTTTAGGAGGAAGAAGTGATTTGGTGTAATTTCTTTCCATTAATACAGAGTGCCTAGACCTTACAGTCTCATCTTTTACTTCCAATGATGGTGTGTGTAATAACCCTGGTAGAGGATCCTTGCTTTTCAGTGCAGTTTGTTTGCATACTACAATATACTGAGTCAATGTTGTACTATTTTTTTATTTTTTTTTATGTTTTCCAAAATCCATCAAGTGTGCACACAGTGATTTCCTGTGACTAATTTGAGCAACCCCAAAACACAGAAGTCTATGGGTAATGCATCTGGTTATTTAATTGGTATGTTTGCTAATGGCTTAACATGAATTTCTATTTGTAATTTCAACTTGTAGAGAAAGGAGCACATTGATTTATACATTTGGCTGGAAGTTTTATCTTTACTTGGACCTTTTCTGGCATTCAGTTCACACAAATATGATATTTTCTTGTGGTATAGTAGTGTCTGATAGTATGCAAAATCTTTTTTTTCTAACACTTCAGGTGTTTAACTTACCATTTTAACTGTAACCTGAAATCACTATAAATTCCTTGGGAAAGCTCTATACAATTCTAAAGTGCTTTGTCCTAGCAGTCACTTAAGTAAGCATTGTACTTTATACAATGCGATGACATACTTCCATTTGTCATACTACAGATATTGCTTGACAGTTGGTCATACATTCATATATGAGGTTTAAGAAAAATAGGAAATGCAGTTTCTTTGTTGCTTTTGTAGACCTAAATCTATGTGAATTATGTTGTTTAAAGTACCAAGGGAGATTTCTGCTTTTGTTGCAATGGTCCATTGTATTTTGGGGTTACTTCTGCTGACAAGCTGTTTAACCCCTTCTGGATTGCTTTTGTTGCAATGGATTACTGTGTCTTTGGGTTACTTCTGCTGACAAGCTGTTTAACCTTATCTAGACTGCTTTTATCACAATCAGCAATTGTGTTTTTGGGTTACATCTAGTGAGAAGTTGTGTAACCTCATCTGGACTGCTTTTGTTGCAATAGGCCACTGTTTCTAGTTTACTTCTGATCACAGAGTGTTTAACTCTATCTAAAATGCAGATTGTCTTATAGGTTTATAGTGCATACTTGCATCCCAAATTTTAAACTTTAAATAAAAGTGATGATTTTAATTCTTCTTTCAATATCTTTAAACTTAGAATTGATATTTTCTAATTTTTTAAGATTATTTAGTGTAATTTCAAAATATTTCAACTTAAGGAGTCCTGGCATCTTGTTTCTCACATGATTTTCCTTTTCTGTTTGTACAGCCCACTTTTATCACCCTTTTATTATATTGTAGCATATGGTTTGAACAGTTACTAAGCAAAAACATGGGTTTTAAGATAGCTACAGGCAAAGTTTGAATACATTGGATGGACAGGCTATAGATGATGTATGTCAATATAGAATACATATAGTTATGTGAGCAGTAACTTCTAGTTTTGTAGGCAAGTGACCAGATGGAATTCTTGCAGGGTTAAACAGAGGAGTCTAATTGGAAATTTTAGAAGACTGAGGAAGAACCCATAGATGTTGGAATTTTTTTTAGTTTTTGTATATGTTGTTTTCATGGTAAATTATCTATTTGAAAACTACAGAAATTTTTGTCTATGAAAAGACATTGAGAAAGCTTATTCAAGTTTAACAAGTATGGCAGGTTATGGCAAAATTATTATTTATTGAATGTTATTGTGAAGTTTATTGTATTCAAGCAACACAATGAAATAAAAGAACTTATCATTTATAGGAAAGAAACTATATTTATTAGATATAATTTAATCTCAACTGAGGATATTGTTAACAATAAAAGTAATGTTACTTAACCTGACAAAGGTAATGTTGATGTCATTTTGAAAGATCAAGTCCTAGATCACTGAGGTCATTTTTGCTGTGTTTATTGCAATTTGTGATCAGAGAAATACCAAGAGAAATATGTTAATGCAACCCAAGTTGACTGGATATATAAATAGTATAAGGTACTTTCTGATCAAGGAGAAAATGAAAAACATTCTAAGTTGAAGGGAAGTATTTTTAATGTTTTTTCAAACAATGTTTGCAACAAATATTTTGGGAATTTCACAACATAGAACAAAAAAATCTAATTATATCAATTTTATTAAGCTGAAACTATTTAGTATGATTGGACTAAGTTTCATGCAATTTGATTAAGTTTTGCATTGTAACAAAGAAAATATCTTTTATCTGGGAATGGGTTATGTTGCTTCTCTACCTTCTGTTTGTGTGTGTGGCTGGTAGTTAGTTGTGGAATAGGCTGTTTCTTCATTGCTGGAATCACAGTTTCCTTTGCTTTTCCAATATGGTTCAACACTACAGGTATCCTTTTCTTTTTAATGCTAAAGTTTCATACCCTTCATACTTTTGTAGTAACAGAACTGGAGAATATGCTGAAAGTACTGTAATGTAACCCTCTCAGAAAGAATCAATTTTTGGACACCATCTGCAATTGAAAATTGCCACATTTTAACCAAATTGCAGTAAGAAGGTCAGGACGTTTAACCCATATAGTCACAGGCCAAGAGGAAGTTGAACGTTTACCAATATTGTTATTAAAGATTGTGGACAGCATTCTGATACTTCTTTAATCTATTTCATAATCTATGTGGCTATTTGCATTTTTATTTAGTTCTTGAAATAAGTTTTCAGTATATGATGTTTCAGTTATTATTATTATAATTCTTAAATTTGTTTTCATAAAAGGATATCACTACCAATTTAACAATTTATTTAGCTATTACAAAGGCACATCACAAGTTCACTAAAGTTGTCTACATTGTTGTGAAATGTACAAACATGCAGTTGAATCAAAAATTTGAGACTCTGATTTTTGACAACTGACTTTTGCCAAAATAATAATCATGGTCCATATATCAACATACATTTTTAATGTTTCTAGCGTAAAATATTTTCAGTGTAAATAAAAATATTTAGTATCAAACTGTTGCATATAATACAAAGTGAGAATAATATAAAGTTTACAGTAATGAAGTAACCATTGTTACCAGAAAGTATTCTTCTTATTAATATTTATGAGTATATTTTTCATTCATACAAGAGTTTTTGCACTCCAATGATGCCATTTTTTCACATTATAGGTATACTCTAGAAAACTTTAAGTTTGGAAAGATAGATGTTGGTCGCTACCCTGATGTTGCTGAGAAGTAAGTGTTGTAATTTGGTAGTTCTGTGAGTCAGTTGTTTGTACCTATACTTGAAAAAGCTTTTCTTAAAACACTCATGGAACTAAAGAAGAAATAGGCTGAGTTCTTGCCAAGTTAAAATAATATTTTTTTTTCTGTCCTTTAATAAAGGTACTGTATTTAGAAAAGATCATATGTTTTTACTTTAGTAGTTTCTCTCATCATTATATTTGTGTTATAGTTGTTAAGGTCTGCAGCTATGAGGTCCAAAGAATATACAGTAATTGTGTCTATAAACAACTCTTAGGGACCAAGAAAGACTAACTACTGTTCCACCTAAATTCAGTATCAGATGAAATGTTAATTTTAGAATTTCATTGCAATTTTATAAATCAAAAATTGAATGTACATTGACAATAATATTTTACGGTTTCAGTTGTATTTAAAGATGATGATTCAACAAGTTTCAAGTTCACAAGATTTGTTTGAAAAAATTTGTGAAACTTGAGAAAAGTATGTTAGACATCTTTAGATCTTATCAAGGTAGCAGAAATTGTAGATTCATTTTCAGGAAGTGCTAAGATGAGGCACATGAACTTTTTCACTATATTTTGGATATGGTTAGCTGAATGTAACTTTTAACTTTTGTTATCAGTAGAAATTCACAGATGTTTTGTAATTGTTAATAATTAATACCTAGGAAACACAATTATGTAATAAATGTGTAATAACGTAGTGGTTTGGTAGTGATTACATAGTTAATTTAGGTAACTTTTACGTAAAAGTGTGGACTACCAGAAACATTGTTACTATGTAGTGATATTACGTAGTGGAATTACCAATATACAAACAATTTGGCATGTTGAAATACCAACATGGTACATTCCTATTACCATTCTACTACATTGTAACTACTAATATACAGCCAATTTGGTATGTTAAAATACCAACATGGTACATTCCTATTACCATTTTACTACATTATAACTACCAATATACAGCCAATTTGGTATGTTTGTCATGATATAAAAGACAGTTTCATTTAGATAGTATTAATTAATTTAGTTTTGTGAGTGAATATTTTATTATTCTTTAGTTCTTCTTATAATAAGAGTTATAAACAGATGATTGTAGGAAGTTTTGTTAATAATTCATTGACATTGAGAATAAAGGACAGATGATTAGGTAATATAGATATAAATAGTGGGAGACAAGTGGGAAGCAGTAGATAGACATAACCAGACAGATAATAGCGTAAGAGAATAAAGTTGGCATGAGGTTAAGTACCGTAGATGTGAGAGTCCTAACGATTGACATAGGACTAACGTTTAATATGTTAGAGTGAAACTAACACCAGAAAAGAAGATAAGAAAAATAATTTTATTCTGTCAAAGCGTGGTTCTAAAGTAATTGAATCAGCCTGAGTGCACTTTGACCGAAGGAACAGAGTATACTCAAAAGATCCAAGACCAAACGATTACAGTAACTAGCACCAAAATTGTAAGTGAATCACAGAGACTACTAGTGCGATAGAAATAGACAAGATATTTCAGCTTGTCAACTGAAATTTTTAAGTAATTGAATAGGCCTAAGTGGATATTTGACAAGGAGGGAACTACATATATAATATTTATGATATACCCATAATATCTATAGTGTTGAAGAATTTATTGTACATACGTTAACTTGATCTGAATATATATATATATATATTATTTTAAAAACAACTGAAGTGCATGCTGTTTATTCATCACTGAATTTATTGCTAACAAGTCACAGACACCTACTGAACAAGAATCCTAAGTCCAAGAACAACATAGTATATATTTATACTATTAAGAAATATAACTAAAATACTTTTATTTTGACAATTGATAAAGAACAGATTTTTAAATTCTGACAATTGGCAAGCCACAGCCAGAATTATACAGTGGTAAATGGCTCTAGAAGAAAACGTGAATGACAGCGGAAATAAGTAGGCCTGCCTATATACGCACAACTATAGTAGTAACGAAAATAGTGTAGAGATTAAAAGTATGCTATATAACCATGTCAACAGATTTTGATAAATGGGTAGAAAGAGGATCTCTTCTTTGGTTAAAAGACAGTGAACTACGAGAGTTTGTTACACAACAACAAGAACTGGAAAGAGAAGAATGGCGTCAGAAGAGACAAATTGAGAAAGAAGAGAGAGAGGAGAGACTAGAAATAGAAAGAATGAGAATACAAATTGAGGAAAAAGAATGAGAGGAGAGACTAGAAATAGAGAGAATAAGAGCACAAGTTGAGATAGCAAAACTCACCCAACCAAAAGAAGGACCCAAGAATGACAATGGAGTCGGGGCTTGCCGACCCAAGCCTCCCAACTTTGATGAACATAAAAATGATATGGATGCTTTCCTGGAGAGATATGAAAGATTCGATCCAAAGTCAGAACTGGGACAAAGGGGACTGAGCAGTCTCTCTCAGGCCCACTTCTCACAGGAAAAAGCCTACAAGTATATGTAAGCATGATGTCAGAAGATGCTATGGATTATGACAAATTAAAAGTAGCTTTACTGAAATGATATGCACTTACTGAAAAAGGTTTTTATCGGTAGTTCAGAGGAGTTAAACCAGACACTGGAGAATCTGTATTTCAGTTTGTGGCATGTCTTTGGCGATATTTCACCAGATGGACTGACATGGCCGTGTGTGAAAATATTTTTGAAGGACTGGCAGACCTATTAGTACGTGAACAGTTCATGACCATGTGTTAAACTGACATGTCACTGTTCCTAAAGGAGGGAGATAACCAAAAGGTGTAGACAAAATGATCAAGCTGGCAGAACAGTATGTGGAAGCCCATGGAGGTAGTATAACTGGCAAGTCTAAGAATGTCCAGTTAAATTTGAAACCAGTAATGGCAGAAATTTACCAATGGTAACAGGAAGATAAGAGACAGAAGGGAGAAGAGATGTTATGTTTGTTATAAAATGGGTCACATTGCAAAAGAGTGCAAGTCCATTACCAGCAAACAACAGCAAAAACCTCAACATAAAGCAGCTGGAGCTATTTACAAAGACAGTGCTGGTAAGAAACAAGAAAAGAGTGACTGGCACTATGGATGCTGCTGCCAGAAGAAAGAGGATCGAGAATACTTGTCAAATTCAATACCAGAAAGCATGATTGATCAGTGCACGGCTAATGGTCGGCTCAGATTAGCAAACAGATCAACAGTGCTAATAGTGATGGGAACATGTGGTAAATATCTAGAGGTGCCAATAAATAATATGCCAATATGTGAAGGCTATGTTGGGGACAAGAAAGTGAAGGTTCTACGAGACTGGGTGCAGTAGTGCAGCAGTGAGAATCAGTCTAGTATTCGATGATCAGATGACAGGCAAGTTATGCCTGTGTGTGCTAATTGATGGGACAGTGAGAAAATTTCTCGTAGCAATAATAAAGTTGGATACTCCATATTATGTAGGAGACTTTAAGGCCATGTGTATCAGGGAATCAATACACGACTTGGTGATAGAAAACATACTAAGAAACTTTGTAAACTAGACAGATAATGATTGAAGTATCTGCAGTCACTACCAGAGCTCAAGAAAAGAAGATCAAACAAGACATAAAGCCTCTGCAAGTGTCAATTACAAAAATAAATGATACATTTTTTTATCTCTCTAATTTTAATATAGTCTCTATTCATCCGAATCAGACTATATTGCTGTGGGAGTTGGTTTGGGTGTCCTGGGAGATTTGAAAGCAGCTTGTGCCTGTACTTATAAAAGACCAATTCAGTTTAACAGATCAATACAGCTGTCAATAAAATCACAAATCAAATAATCTGAGATATGCATTTTAATCAAGAACTATGATATCATTATATGCCAAAACAATGTTGATTAATCATTATAAACACCAGCTATACAAATAAAGTTGCACTTAAGTTTATGCCAAAAGTGAATATTTTGTTTCATGCAATATGAAGCTCAGACAAAGTTGGTACATGACTTAGCAGTGATGACATTGTATTCTGAATTTTATTTTTGTCTTGAATGCATTTCAAATTTGGCTATATTATATTCTGTATATTTTAATTGCTATATTTCATTGTGTTTATTAGTTAACAGTTTTGACGAATATGAGTGCATCATTTTATATGTGAATATATTGAACAGGAACTTGCTCAGTGCATGCTTAAGAGTTTCTGCCATCTGCAGCTCAACCTCAGCATTCTGGCATTTAGGGTGAATTTGTCTACATTCCTCTATTGAATCATTAAAAAATTCATTATTGCAATTTACAATAACTGTCAAATTTAACAAAGCTGGGATTTTACCTCTATAACACTGGAAATTTCATAAATTTAAGAAAATAATAGGACTTATAAATGTGGTAATGAGGTCAAGTATGAGATATTAAAGTAAATCACCTAATACAAACTTTGTCATTGATATCTTATAAATAGTCTTGTTCATTGTTACCTAACTGATCCTTTCTGAATACTATTATTTTCATTGCACAATCAGTCAACTGATTGGGATTATTTTTACAAAACTATCTAAAATGGATATATATATTTTTTATAATTACACAGGAAGTTTTTACCATGTTTACTGTACTAAAATAATAATCTATTAAAACTGAAAATATCCAGATATAGATACTGATAATTATTCTGTAGAGTGGCAGATTTTGGACTGTTTGCTTGTTCTTCCTTTCCGTCATGTTGAAGCTGGACTACAGGTGAAATGTCCCCAACTTCTTAAACATTTTTCTTACAGAATCCCTAACATTGTTCCCTCTCAAAGCACTCAGACAGCAACCTGAAAAATTGTTACACCATTTGATCAGATGGATGCTTGATTACATCTACAAATTAGCATACATTTGATATGTCTAAATTATTTATATGCATGATAATAGGTGTCAATGAAAAAAAATATTCATTATAGGACTTGCCAGTTTTTCTCTGGCCTGGGTTTTCTGATAGCTTGGTACAGATTTGGTCCAGGTTTTCTCATGTATCCATTGGTTCCTCCACCATGTCCTCCACTACTTCTACATTTGTGCCTGGGCTTGTGATACCACCCTCCCTTTACTGGCAAGTTACTGGAGAAGTTCTGTGTACTATTTTTTCTTTTGTTGTTGTTGACGAGGATTTCATCCAGCCTCATTAGGACTTGCCTCTGGTAATCTAGAGGAAGAATGCAGAACAAGTAACAGTAGCTGCCCAATTAACTTAATATTGCGTGCAGATAAGAGCAATGCAGTCTTTAACTCTCTCCAGATGATTTTTGTGTGTCATGTGGTATGTTTGTAGTTTCGAATGAATAAGAAACTCAAATTACTGATATTGAAAATCTAGAATATAAAATAAGTACTTCTTATCTTTTCTCTTTGCTGATATATCACTCATGTAATGAATCAAACACAGTGGCCCTGCTCATCTCTTTCCATTTATGGAAATGGTCCCTTATACAATTACTTCAACATATGATTTGAATAACCACTTGAAAACTCCAAATGTCCTCCTACTGGCTTTCTCAGCCATTTTCATGTGGTAGGACACCATCTCTTTCTTTCTAACCAAAATTTCCAGGGGGTAGGTTGTGTCCTTAGTCTGCTCGAAATTTCATATATTTTTAGACCTAAATACAGCTTAGTTACTAAGCTTGATAAATTATAGTGAAATTCCATGGTATTTATATATTAAATTATGATTTTTTGGTTATTCAACTGTATATATAAAATCTAGGGATGCATGGGTAGTAAAATTTGGCTGAATATCGAGCCCGGGTATCCGGTCACTAAGCTTCGGCTGGAGCTGGGTGTCAACCAGGACTGAGTTCGCCCCCTCCCACAAAAAATAAAAATAAACAAAATTAATGTTTATTACATTTAACCAAATAATCACTAACAGAACATTCAACTTTTACTTTCAACTTTCAGTTCCTAGTCCCAACTTCTCAAACCCTAACCCCTATTGTTCTCTGAATCCCCAACTTTCAGCAGGCATTTAGTCTTTGTTGCTTGGAACATGTTTTTTTTAACTAAATCAATTATTGACTGTAACTTTCCATACCTCTTCAGTTGCCACAAAGATTAGATTTGAGATGCCTAACTTTTAACACTTGGTCAGAGCCGATTATTACTGGGTAGCCCAATACATGGCAGGGGCTGAATATCTAACCTAGTACCCATGCATCCCTAATAAAATCTAAAAGATTTATGTCAATTCATATCCTCCATGTGCAAAATTTTAAAAGACTTGGCAAACTACGTCAAGCAGCAACCAAGTACAAAGGTCATTAAATAAGAGATAATTGTTTGCATTACTTCTTTATTTACTGTTCTGTGTTTTAAGAAAAATATGTTTAAGAACCTATTTCTAAATAGTAATAATGTATATACATATATTATGTATAATAATGGAAATGTGACTGTATTTTACAAAATATTCGTCTATTAAAATACAGCCAAGACATGACACTTTGTAAAGACTAAAGGTCAGTTTTATTATATTTGATTTGGTAACATGATAGCATGTGTGCAGTGTCATTATCTTCTGCATTGTTAGCCAGGCAAGGCTGAAAGGTCAATATAATAAAAATAATAAATATATATAAATGTGCAATGTTGTGAGATTTGAGCTATTTAGTCTGAACATTTGTTTTTGTGTTATAATTTGTTGTCATTCTAGAACAAAGAGGCATGATTTATATTTATTTCCTAATATTTTATTGTAGTTATAAGATCAGTTAAATTTACCAAACCCATACAGAGATTCATTACTGAAAATAACATATAAAATATAAAGTTTTTTCTTAAGAAATCTTTGATAACTATCTGGACATTATAAAGACTTTACATGCAAAATTTCAAAATTTTCTGATGCATAATAGTATTTTTAACCTTAAAATGAAAATTACTTTACATGAAAGATAGGCAACATGCAAAAAGAAAAAAAGACATGAGAAAAACATTGCTTTTCAAACCTTAAGACGTAATAAAAAAAATTATATTTTGCGTGTGAAAGCATTGTAATGTTTACTGATAACATGCCAAATTTTGTTAATATATGCTTACTAATTTAAAAATCGTAGCATGAAAACTATAACAAGTACAAAATGGTTATGAGGTTGGTCCCAGGAACCAAGCCCGTGCTGAAAGAGTTAACTGATGATCTGGTCACCTCAGGCCACCAAAAATTGAGTTGGGCTACTAAATCTGACAATTTTGTGCCACAACTTTTACTTGCATTATATGGAAGTTTATTTTATTGAGCATGGCAATTTGAATGTTGGGGTGACTATATATAAATATTGAAACATTAAAAATACTAGTGTAAAGCAATAATCATTTTATATTAATGTGCGCTGATTTATTTTTGTAGACAATTTAGGGATTTTACTTTAATTAGTTCAATAAGGGTTTCTTTGGTTAAAAAGTATATTTGTGTTAACTTTAGTATTTTACTCACTGTCAGTGAAGCTGCTCTGTCTTCCTTCATTATGCCCCATTGGTTTGGTCACAGATTCCAACTTTGAAATATATAAAGAAAACAATCACATGTTAGATCAATACCATATATCATTAGTACTAATAGAAATGATATAAATGCTGTTTATTGTGGTAACCCAATTATTCAAGTAATAGTAGGTCTATTTGTAGTCCAAGCATTAGGCCTAATACATGAATGTAACATAAGGCTTAGCTGAAACTACTTGATAAATTTTATTTTGCTTTTGACTACAACTCATTGTCATAAAACTTCTGAATTAAACTATTTTGATGTTATATCACCAAAGTTATAAGAAATAAAGAATAAAAAAACATACCTTTCTAACTATAAAAGGCTTAAGTTATTCCCTCTGAGTCTGACATTGTTGAGAATGTTTTAATGCTTCTTTTTAAAAAGTTTTTTTTAGTTAGTAATTTTAAAATCTCTACAAACACTATATATGTTAGGAAACATATCTTGTCATTATACATACCTTTGGATAATGAAGTATTTTGGAGGCTTAAAGCTGCTGATTCAAGAATGCTGGACAGTTGAGATCTTATTTAAACTTGGGGTAATTAAGCTATATATGTCATTCATGAAGTTTCGCAATTATCTAAATTACAACGAATATATCAAATTAAATCAAATGTAGGCAAATATATTGGAATTAATTTTCATTTGATATTTTTAAATAAAAAATATTTTACACGATTTATAATATTTTTATTTGAAAATGACAATAAATATACAAAATTAATACTTAAACACCAAAAAGAAGTACTGCTTGTTACACTTCGAGTTACACTGCCAGGTGATTTACTCTTTTGCTTCTCATATGCAATGTAATATTCTCATGTTATTGCTACTTAATAGTTCTAGCTATATGTTGTAAAAGTATGTTCTGACTACATATATAAAATATAATGTTATAATGTAATGGCACAATGTTATGAAGTTACATTATTACTACATATATGCTACGTATTATTGGACATTACCAAACTACTACCACATCACTACCTAGTAAATAAGTAGTGTGTTTGCTGGGTAAAGATCACACAAAATTATGGAGCATTACAAGATTGTTTTAATAAAATGACATGGATAAATTGTAAATATGATAAAAAGACCTCCATCCAGGACTTTAACCTCACAGCAAAGTTTATTTCCAACTTTTTTGTATATTTGTTAACATGTTTTATCATGCCTAGGGTAAATTCTATGAGCTCTGGATCTTAGAGCTGGCAAGCTAGGTCTGAATCCTGGTTATAACACAAAATATTCTGCCCACATTTTAAGATGTGGGTACATTATAAGAATAAGTAAATCCCTTAGTGTGGATGGTGAGTAGTAGAATACTGCTGACTGGCTGCCTTAGTATTGAGGCTTCTAGTGTACTTGAAGACAATGAATTTTGTCTCATTTTGTAAGCTTATACACAAACAAGGTATGAATTTCTTTCTAAGTGGTTGAATGTGAAATCTAAATTTCAGTTACTGTCATTGAAAAAAAAAATCTTGATTATATCTAGCAATTTGTAAAAGATCTTGAAAAAAATTTATTCGAGAGTGATGTGTTATTATTTCATTGCCCTTGGTTTCTCATTAACATCCTTGTTTACTGCAAAGTGCTGTTAAGATTTACCCCCTTTTTGTCGAGAATTAAGTTGGTAGGAACTGTGATTTATGCATGAAGAATTCACTAATGTTTTTCAATAAATAAACTAGATTTTTGCTATAAGTTAATCTAAGCTTTAGGCTACTTTATGACCAAAGTGCAGTATTATTACACACTGTAATAAAGTTAATGGTTAAAATTACTGATAGAAAATTTATGTTGATGACCTAACAAAAGTGATATTAAAAAATTGAATACAAATATTTTTTATTTCTACACATGCAAATCAAGAAGACAAAATTCCAATAGTACATTGTAGTTTAAAATCATAATTTTTCATTAGATGAAATATTTCTCAAAGTGTTTACTGCTACAGTTTGTTAGTTTGTACCTCTGAAGACAAAATAGTGATGAATGAATAATTTTTATTTTAGTTTTGACACCTCTATTGCTCAACAAAATGTTCTGTATTATTGTTTAATAGAAAGAAAAAACGTACACGATAAAAAATCTATTATCTGATCTATATTATTTTATTAAAGGATAAAAATCTGAATATTCAAATTGATGGAATTCTTTTTGATTATTTTCATTATTGGCATTTAATCTTCTAGTTAATCATTGTACTAAGATAATTGAATTTTTTTTTTATTATATTTAGTTTACAAGAACTACAAAGATAATGTTGGAAAATGTCATAAAATAACTTGTTGCAATTTTAACAAATTTATGCTCTCAGAATTGTATTATTACTTCAAGAGTTAAAACAAATAGTGTAGAAACAAAATGTTTTTATCTTAAGTGTAGCCTGTTGTAAACTTTGTTACACTGTATTTTAGATTCAGGATTAGTATGTCATCCTTTACAAAGCAGCTACCAACTGTGATTCTCTTTAAAAATGGCAAAGAGGTTAATCGAAGGCCAGTATTTGATTCATATGGAAAACCAATAAAGTTTTTCTTTAATGAGGTAAGAACATTGTTTGTAACTATTCATAACTAGGCAAGTAATATTTGTCTGAAGTGGGCTCTGGAACTTGTTTAATTTTCCTTCTAAATATTCATAACTTTTTATTCAGTATTATTGAAGGATTAATAATTTTTGTTGTTATTAGGGCCTACCTTTCCATGATATGGAGTGGCTTCCTCCATCTTTTTACACTTCTTTATTGTATGAATCCTTTTTCATTTTTTAACTATTAAACTTCTATGACATAAGCTCCTGCACCATAGTTTATGTATCTGCAAGAATAGTTTTAATTGTTGTGTGAGCTTTCAGCTTATGCAAGTGTTATTTTATGTGGTTAGGCATAATAGTTAACACATCAGTGAAGAAGGAATTCCACTCTTTATTGGTGCCCTTCTTCAGAGGCTTGAGTATGTTCTCAAAATGTTTTCTACATTATTTTCCTGTTTTGCACTATACATCTTGCATTGTTCCTCCTGTAGTGTTCAATGGAAATATAAATTGTAAATCTTACAACTAGTAATTTATTAAATTTAAGGGAAATTTGAAAACAGAATAAACAATCTGTCATAAAAGTATAGTATGCACTCTAAATATGTCTAAGTTGGAACAAGTTTTGAACTACATACGTAATGTAATTTGCTGCAGCTATTAACTTCAATCTAGGATCATGGTAGTCACACACTTGTAACTAAAAATGAAAACATATGTGAAATATGGATACAAATAATAAGAAGAGTCAGAGAATAAATATAATTTTAAAAAATACAGAGTGAACAAGATGAAGTCATTATTACTAAGTCAAAACAAAGGATATTCACTGACTACTGGTCAAGATGAGCATAATACCAATTTTCAGTCAGTTTTTGGTCATGCTTAGCTAGATATTTAGTTTCTGAGACAATAACTCTCCTCCATACACAGAAATGCTATCTTCCTTGTGTGTCTGCCTATGAGATTTGCATGCAACTAGTCTTGAGGTAACTACATCATCATGCAACAGAAGCCCTCACTAACAGGTGGGTGACACAACCTCCGTGCACAGTAACACCCTCCCCCTATGCACCTGCACTCGTGATGACATAATTTTTTTTCTTGACAATGTATTGAATGGATGCATTCACATTTCATCTGGCTTCAGTTTGAGGTGATATGCATTTGTTAATGAAATGCCTGATGACATCATCAGGCAACAGAAGTCTTCCAGCTGTAGGAGGGTGTCACAATCTCCATGCACAGTAACTCCTCCTATGCACTTGTCCATGTGATAACAGCATTCTTTTCCTTGGCACTGTTTTGAACAGATGTGTTTACATGTCATCTGGCTTCAGTTTGAGGAAATGAATTTGTTAATGAAACTTTGTTGTTTTTTACACTTTGGCTTTTGTCTTCACAGCTTTACTTTATTATAATTAATTCTCAAATGATGATGACTTCAACTTTGTCCTGTATGAGTGATGATATTACTTACGCAGACCCTATCTCTACTCTAGTGTCAGGGGATATCACAGCCATTATGCAACAAGTTGTGTGCAGTTCATTGTGGATGCTTGACCTTCTGTTCCCTTCCATTGTTCTGACATTCCTTCATTTAGAGTTTGAAGAGGAGAAAGGCAAATTTAATAGCCTGTTCCTTCCTCCTGATTTTGTATTGGGTACTACCGATTGAGGAAAGTCCTCAGTCTTCAACACTGTTTCAGGACTCATATATGGTTTCATATATGTTCTTTTTTCTCTCTTTTGCCCATTTCTTATGAATCTTCATGTTATTTTCTCTACTATTGTAATCCTCATAATTATTTAGTCTTTTCTCCCTCATCTGACATTCGTTTCTATGCTGAATCCTTCTTTCAACAACTACATAATTGTCACCATATGCCTCATCCTCCTTGCCTTTCTGATTCTTATGTCCTAGCTGACAGTCATTCTACCTTTCTCTTTCTTGATTCTCAGTCTTTGGAATCTCTAATATCTGCTTGGGAAGCAGTCCCCCTGTTTCCTGTTTTGCTCTCCAGTGGCCAGTTTTCATGTTTTTGTCTTTTCTCACCAACCTGCTTTGTTACCTCTCCTCCCTGCATCTTATGTCTGAGATGCTTCATTAATCTCTAGATGAGTTTTCAGGAGAAATTTGTTTCCTTCTTTTACCACTATAACTTGTACCACTTCTGCTCTGTCCCTTATTACTTGGTTCCTCTGTTTTTGGGACTTAATTAGATAAAAATACACTCTTTTTTCTAATGTATACCTACCCACTTGCTATCTGCATGATATTCATTAGGCTCCCTTTCTTCACCCTACTGTCTTTGGCAATGTTTCTGACTCACTGAAGACCGAGGCAGAGCTGCCTGACACCAGTCCTCATTATTTTCTCTGGTTTCTCACCTCCTTTTCCTCGACTGGGTCAGTCTACCCCTCACTTTCCAAACATTTCTCCTCTTCCTGTCTCCCAGTGCCTGATGTCAGGTCTGTCATACATATCTCTCCTCTTCCCATTTTATTTTTTCCTCTCTCTCTGAACCTATCTATCTTCAGTATCTTGAGGAGATGGTATCAGATCTTTTGGCCAAGCACACTCCCAAGAGTGTATATAATTTTTCTTTGGGTTTTTACCCTTGTCTCTTTGTGGCCCCCAAGAAGACTGGGGTCTGGCATCTGGAAATTTACCTCTCCTCTTTCAATCATTTTCTGGTTGGTCCATGTTTCTGAATGGAGAATTTCTTCTCTCTCTAGTGGTCCTTTTTACTAGACTGTGGATGACCAAGGCCAATTTTTCAGACACCTTTATTGACATCTTGATTGCTCCACCATCCATATGTCTTCAATTGACTCATGAGGACCTTTACTCACCACCTTCGTGGCCTGGGACCGAGATTACACTTATACATGGATGATTGGCTCCTCTTAGCTCTTTGTTTATTGTTCAAATTTGTTGCTAACAAGTCGCAGACACTTACTGTAAAGAATCCAGCCTGTACATAAAACCTGACATGGACTGTTCCAATACTACCTCTGGAGTTCCCTTACTAGCCTGCAGACCTGATCTCCATCTCTTCACTGATGCTTCCCTCTTAGGTTGGGGAGCTTCTCTGAACAATTACATGACTTATGGCATTTGGACACAGAACAAACATTCACTTCATATCAACGTGCTCAATCTTCTGGCTGTTTGTGGGGCATGTTTCCTGCCCCTGCTGGTGAATCAGTTGATCATGAGCCATTCAGACAATTCTATGGTCATTTGTTACATCAACTATCAAGGGGCACCCATTCCAGGACTAGTTTCAGGAATTGGACCTACTCTTTTGAGCCCATTCTCATCAGGTTCATCTTGTTGCCTGTCATGTGCTGGATTCTATGAACCTGATGGGTGACCTCCTCTCTAGGCCAGACCGCATCCTACCAACAGAGTGGTCTCTACACCCCCATGTCTTTTGTTGGGTTTGTTCTCATAGATGCCTTTCCCACCCCTCTGAACTTCAAGCTTCCTCTTTTCTGATCTCCGGTTCCTAATCTTTTGGCTATTGGCATGCTCTTGGCCAAAACTAGTTTCTTCTTTTTCTATATGCATATACTCTTCTCCCTTGGGTCCTTGCCTTTATATGTAACACACTTTGTTTGGTCCTGTTGGTGGCACCTCTTTGGCCAGCTCAGCCTTGGTTTCTTCTGCATTTATGCTTAGCATCCACACCTCCTCTTCCTCTGCTCTTATGTACCCTCTCTGATGCTTCAGCCTCACACATCTCTGTTTCATCAGGGGATATTGTCCCATCATCTTCACATGTGGGATTTATCTGTCCTTCATCTGTAAAGCTGGAGTATCTGATCACATAGCCTTTTTCTTATCTCATTCTTGTCACCCTTCTCTATCTATCAATATGAGTGATGTGTCTATCGTCATTAGTTCATCTGCCACTCATTTCTTCCCGACTATTCCACTGTTAACTACTATTCTGCCTTTATTACTTGACTTGTCAGTTTCCACCACTGCTGATTATTGGGCATGTTATCCATTATATTTTGTCTTTTCAGGTACAGCAGGGTGTTTTCTTCCCCTGTACTCTCCATTCACTTCCACTCCTTCCTTCTTCACTCCCATGCTAGACTGGGCTCTTAATGATTTTTGAACATTCTCACATATGATCTGTTCAAGTCACTGGCTTCTTGCTCTTTATACCATCTTTCTTTCAAGACTTGTTTCTCCCTTCTCTTCACTAGCGGTTACTGTCATTCAGAGATATATGCTATTGATTTTTCTAGTACTTTCTTCCACTTCACTTGTATTTTCCTCTATCTGGACTGGCTTTTATTTCCTAAGTACTCTGCCACTCACAAAGATAACCATACTTTCTCTTCCTTTTACATCTCACCTCCATGATCATTCTGACCTGTTTCATCTACTGTGTCTTGTTTGGTGTTACTTATCGTGACCCTCTCCATTTTGGGTTCTCTGTCATTGTCTTTTTTATACCCTAGGACCAGTCTTCTTCCAGGGACTTCTCCTCTTCTGAATTTACTGAGTGGATCTGCCCACCTTTTCCACTTGGTATATGCTTTACTAGATGTAGATGCTCACAGACTGTTCCATATTTCTTCACACCAAAGTTTTCATGTGACTTATTCTCTTGCTTCCCATTTTCACTGCCTTTGGATGAGGTCCTCCAGGCAGGTGTTTGGATAACTCCCAACACATTCATTTCTTATTATCTCCACCATCTAGCTGTTCCATTTCCTGTTGGATTTTGATTTCCACTGGTCCCCATTCTTCAGTTGATCCACTGTCTTTGAGATAGATCAGTGTATTTAATTTATCCTTTCTCTTCCTTTTTGTTGTTCTGGATCCCACCAGGTGGCTGGTGTTGCCTCCCAGACTATGCTTATTTCTCAAAATCCACATCAATCCAGGATAACAGAAAGAACTCAAACCATCTGCCTTGGCTCTAACAGTGCCCACTGTGAGATGAGGTGTTCTAAAGGACCATATGAAGTATCCTCATGGTATACGTATTTACTCAGGTTTTTGATCTAGACTGTACCAATTCCCTGGACTATCATAGAAAAAGTCAGTACATTTCTTTGGCTTACATTTGCTGACTTTTAAAAATAGGGATTCATGGTCACTCATTGCACTGTCTCCAGTAAAAGACCTTTCTGGCTGGTGGTCCGATGGGGATCTGGGCAGTTCTCTAGATCTCTCCAATATGAATGTACCTCCTCTTTTCTTCAAGTGGAACATGGGAGACACTTGCCATTTATCAGTTCCTAGCTGCTGGGTGGTGGACCATGGTGAATCCACACCAGTTGGGCTTAGAGTAATACAGTGAGAAGTGGGGAAGAGTTGGCACTGTCTTTGTAGTGTGGGTCATCCATTACAGCCATAATATTTTCTCCTCCTGCAGCTAAAGCCTGATGAGCATGCACTGTGTGATCTGATCATCCCCCAGTCACACTACGTATATTGCTCGCTGATTGTTTTTGTGCAAATACTCAGATGGTTATGTTGTCATTCCACCTGTCCCTGTGACATTTGTGGCTCATTTGCCTCTCCTTCCTTACATTCCAGGTGAAAACTATACCCCGGTTGAGAAAAAAAATGTGGTCTCCTATAGGTGTGCCCCCATGGATCCCCTACCATCAGGTTTCACATGCAGTGGGCTTCCTTTTGGGTAATTTATGAAAAGAGCTCATCTGGGTAATTTCTGCACCAGCCTCTCCACTATGTCTATGTGGGATTCTAGCATTTCTGTGTGAGGAGATGAGTTATTATCTCAGAAGTTAACATTTTCTTAATCTGAAAATGTATTTTCAACATACCTCCTCACACAATCCCACCTATCCTCCCCATTTCCAGCACATTTATTTGTCTAGCTTCATCAAAGAATTATGTTATCGCAAGTGCAAAAGGGGAGTTACTGTACATGAAGGTTGTGTTGCCCTCTTATTGGTGGAGGGCTTCAGTTACATGATGATATCATGCACCAATGCAGTTCACATTAAACACTAACTTTAGGTGGGAATTACCTCAAATATCATAGGCAGACATGCAAGAAAGGTAGTATTTATTCACAAAATGTTTTAATACATTACTATTTGTACTTGAACTGAATCACGTTATTTCATTCTTTTAAAGTTTAAAAACATTGCTGTTTAAGGGGAAAATGCAAATTTTCATGTATTGCATTACATTTATAATTGTTTCTCAAAGATAAACTCAAGAAAAATAAACATTTTCATGCAAAGTTTATCCTCTGAATGAAAAAATGCACTATATTGGATTAATACAAAAAAAGAATGGTTTTTAAAAATGTTGAGAAATGATGTTTATGATTTTTTAGACTATTCCTAAGATTCTGAAGGGCAAACTACTACTACCAAGTAAACATGATATTTCAACAGACTTACTTAAAATCAAGTCTTCTGTTAACTAGATAAATAAAACTAATGAGATTTGCCTCACTATTCCAGTGTGTAGGGTTTCCTCGGCCAATCACAAGGTTTCACTATGGTGCCCAACATATGTTCAATATAATACGACTCAAAACTAAATATTCTAAAAGATTGAAGATTTTCAATAACTGAATAATTTTTCAAGACTAAAATGAATTTTTTAAGATTATAATGTCTAGCTCTAGTGGAAAATAGCTTTAATCAATGTAATGTCTAGCTTTACTAGAAATTAGTTTTAATGAATGTAATTTATAGCTTTAGTGGAAAATAGGTTTAACAAATTTAATGTCTAGCTCTAGTGGCAAATAGCATCAATGAAAGTAATGACTAGTTCTGGTGGAAAAATAGCATCAATGAAAGTAATGTCTAGTTTTGGTGGAAAAATAGCATCAATGAAAGTAATGTCTAGTTCTGGTGGGAAAAATAGCATCAATGAAAGTAATGTCTAGTTTTGGTGGAAAAATAGCATTAATGAAGGTAATGTCTAGTTCTGGTGGAAAAATAGCATCAATGAAAGTAATGTCTAGTTTTGGTGGAAAAATAGCATTAATGAAAGTAATGTCTAGTTCTGGTGGGAAAAATAGCATTAATGAAAGTAATGTCTAGTTCTGGTGGAAAAATAGCTTTAATGAATATAATGTCTAACTCTAGTGAAAAAATAGCTTTAATGAATATTATGTCTAGCTCTAGTGTAAAAATACCTTTAATGAATATAATGTCTAGTTCTGGTGAAAAAAATAGCTTTAATGAAAGTAATGTCTAGTTCTGGTGGAAAAATAGCATCAATGTAAGTAATGTCTAGTTTTGGTGGAAAATAGCATTAATGAAAGTAATGTCTAGTTTTAGTAGGAAAATACCTTTAATGAATAGTAATGTCTAGTTCTGATAGAGAAAATAGCATTAATGAAAGTAATGTCTAGTTCTGGTGGAAAAATAGCATTAATGAAAGTAATGTCTAGTTCTGGTGGAAAAATAGCTTTAGTGAATATAATGTCTAGCTCTAGTGGAAAAATAGCTTTAATGAACATAATGTCTAGCTCCAGTAGTAGCTTTAATGAATATAATACCTACTCTAGTAGAAAGAAGCTTTAATGAAAAGCATTCTCTAATTTAACAAGAAAAAATATTTTTCTATCGATAAAATACCAAGCACATGGACAATTTATCTTTGAATTGATCATTACCATTGCGTGTGAAGGCCTAACATGAAAACGAATATACACTTTCTTACATTTATATATTAGGTTATATTTCTAAATGATATGTGCATGAAATGATCTGACAAACTCTAGCACTATATACTTGTAAAAAGCATTATCTATTAGCTAATTGTGCCTTATTCAAATTTTTCTGTACAAACTTGTAAGAAAATGGTAAGTAGATGTACATTGTAATCAGAACAAAAGCATTAAACCATTGTTACTGTTAAGAGTGATGAGGCTTTACAAATAAAAACAAAACGTATCTTTATAATTATGAAGTAATGAAAGTTTAAACACTTGAGATAAAGGTGGGGTTGGTAGGAGAAATGGAATTGAAAATGATTTCCAGGAAGTCTACTCTCTTTTGCATTAATTACACTTTTCAAAAAAAGAGGTTAGTAATAAAAAGTTTTAGGTGTTATATTTTACCATTTAGAACTGAAATAGTTTAATGTTCAAAAATGCTATATTGCACATTTTTAATGGTAGGTATTCAGTAATCTATTAAAATTATTTGAAAATTTCACTTTTCTTAATTGTTCTCAAATATTTTAATGGAGTAAAATACTATGTTTTGTTCATACTCCAAAACTGTAAATTTGAAAAATACATGTTTAGGTCACCATTATGCTAAATCTTAGCAATTGGATGTTTCTTCACAACACTTTAATAAATTTGTTATTTTAAGTCTGAAGTTTTGTATTCTTTAAAAAAGAAATAATCATCGTGAGAGAGGAGTATAAACTAGTCTGACTTCATGTTGTACAATGAAACTTTTTTGCTACTTTATTTTAATACTAATTATATAATTGAAAATTTTAAATGATTATCATGAAAGTTTGTAACCCATCATATGTTGAACATAATTTAAGGTTCACACTTAGACAAAAAAGGGCTAAACCAAAAAAAATCCTGATAGAATTCTTATTATTTAATTTTTAAAGGTATTAAGAATTTTCAAAACTTAGTGTACTTATTCTAGCATTATTAACTCCTTATCATCTTCATCCGTATATATGCATGCTAGACATCATCTTCACCTGTAAATTTATGCCAGTATTTATTACAGTAATGGAAAAAACTCTTCCGTAGATGATAAAGGGTTAATTCTTATTTGAGGATAACAAAGAGAATAATTTTTCAAGAAAGTTGGCTAAACACACTTCTTTATTTCTAAAATATATTTTAAATAAAAAAAAATTCTAGTTCCTTGTATAAGCTATGTTTATTGTTTTTTTGTGGTACAGGAAAATATCCTGTCTGTGTTTGATCTTAACAATGTCTATGAAGAATGTAAAAGCAACCCATTGAAGAAAGTCCGAAAGAAAGATTTAAACTTGAAACCCGATCATGACAAGGCAGAGTGAAGCTTCAAGAAATACAGGTTACATTATGTTTTTGTAGTTGAAAGACCAAGACATTTTTTTTAATAATAACATCTTGTATTATTTAATATCTTGTTGTAGACTAAACATTGTTTAAAGAATTAAATTAGTTTATAATAGGTGTACCTCAAATAATCAATTTAATTGGAATATAAAATAATTTTCTATATACACTTCAAAACATACAATCCAGATAAAATAATAATAGTAGGTTTGTGTATGACTTCTTTGGGAATGTTTTTTTTTTCCTAGGATTGGAATTTAGAATGATTGGTTTTGATAGATTGTCATCAGAAAACTTAATGTTTTGAAATTTGGTGAATGATATTTTAGCTGGTCATTCTGGATTATTAAACTGTATTATTTTGAAGTTGATTACAGTTGGTCTTCGTAATAAAGAATTACTTTTAAGACTAACTTTCAATGTGTGGAATGAAGCTTAGATGGATTAGAGTAAATTTGAAACAGTTATTGAACTGTGTTTCTGATGGGTTATTACCTTCATTTAGCTGGAGTGGACAAAAGCTGTGTCCATAATTATAAAGTTTTCTTATTATGAGGTTATGAAAGCAAAAATGTTTGAACATAATGTTCAGACCTCTCATTGAAAAGTTACATAAAATAAATGGTGTAATATCTGTTAGGTAGCAATAATATTTTAATATTGTTTCTAGTTTTTTAGTTTAAAATTCATTATAACATGACTCCACATGAAATGACAGTTTGAGTGGTTTATCATTTAATTTAATTATTTTTTTATTATAATTCCTTGTAAATGTAGACTGGATTTTTAAAGTCTGTACCTGTATCTTGTAAGTTTGTTGGCTATTGTATTTTGAATAATCATAACATTCTGATAATACCACAGTATAGGTAATTACTGTGTGTTAGAAGTATTGTTAGTGATAAAAATGCAAGTGACACAGACCAAATCTACCCACAGTTTCTCAGGAGTAACCTTTGAAGGTTTATAATGCTACAATTCATGATTTGATTCTTGTGGTAGACACAGCACAGGTAACCCATTGTGCAGCTTTAAACTTAACAAAAGTGAGTTTGCATGATTTCACACACAATGTTGTTTTGAAAGGTTTTATAGTAGAACTCTTCCAATATGTTCAAACTGACAGCTTGTAGTACTGAGATTCAACAAAATTGTCACCTGCCAGTTTAGTCTCGAATATTTTATTTTACTAAAATAAGTTGTACAAACCTCCGAGTGTTATATCATCAATAACAGTAAAAAGTTGGTACAGTATAAATGAATTATAAACTTATCAGCAGTGTTGAATTATGTAACTAATGTTTTCTATGTATCAGAAGTCTAGTTTCATGTAAGCATGTTACCAGCAAAATAATAAAGCAAAGGAACATAATTTTATGTATGCTTAATAAATATTTGTCTTGGTGTCTTTATAGTGAACTGAATATATAAAGGAAAAGATATTTTGAAGATGATCTGTGTTTGAGGTTGGCACTTAACCCTTTGGAGACAGGTCACGGGTGAAAGGCCATGTCATCTCGTTTGTTGACTTGCATTCAAAATTTTATTGAATTACTATTTCATGAATTTATGTCAATAACTTTGGTATACAACTGTAGATTATAATTCAAATTTTAGTACTATATATTACTCAATTTCTTAATTCAAAACCAAATATTAAAAAAACTTAAACATCAATATTACTCAATTTCTTGATTTAAAACCAAATATAAAAAAAAACACTTTAACATCAATTTTTGTGTGTCTCGTGGTGTGTTGAATGCAGCATTGGTTCAGATTAGAAGTTTCTGAAGTCAAAAT